TACCATCAGGGTCTACGACACTAGGTTGGTCCCTTGGGCTTTATTCCCGGTATTAGTATGCGTTCCATATTCATGATCACTTGGGTTGGTAACTTGGTGGAGAGAATGCTACTATGTTAGTCGTTAGTATGATCTGTGTTTATTGTATGATTATGTGCTATTTATATGTCGATATATATGGATGGGTTGGGTTGAGGCGGTGTCTTTCTTTGTGCAGTTGAGGCCAACATACCCGGAGCGGTCCGGATAGGCTGTAGGCCCGTAGGAGGCAGTCCAGTCATGCCGAAGGCTCGAGAGCGCTCCAGATAGGTTGTAGGCCCATAAGAGGCGGTCCAGTCAGGCTGAAGGCTCATTATGCATACTGTTAATTATTATTCTTTTGTGATGGATGCTAGAGCTTGGTATTTTGGGGTTAACTCACTAAGCCTTCGAGATTGCTTTTTATCGTTTATTGTTTCAGGTACATCAGTTGACCATGGCAAGGTGAAGGCGTGACGTGCACATCCCCATTTTTATGATTCTCGATTTTGGGAACTCTAATATGAAGACATTTTGAAAAACAATTAGAACTTGTTGATGTTGAATAACTTTTAATCATGTAAGGATGGTTTTGGAAATTTTGAATTTTAATTTTTTTTTTGGGGTTGTTACAAGTGTTAGGTTTTGAGCATTCTAACACTTCCTAAGTGTACATGCAACCCTAATAACCTTGGATCTATGTTTGTCTAATTATCATGCAAAGTTGAATTCCAAGGCTATATTCCTATCTAGCATACATGGGGAACAATTTTAACTTGAATGATAGATAGAATAACTTACCTTGTTGTTGCTTATGTTCCTTGAAACCTTATGAGCCTAGCACCCCAAGTGTGATGCCTCAAATGCTTCACACAACACCAAATGCTCTTGGAAAGACTTTTGAGAGAATACACACTTCTTGAAATCGGCCTAACCCTCTTGTTTCCTTAGTGTCCCGATTTTGGTGGAGAATATGATTCTTATATAGTGTTGACACATCTAGGGTTACACCATGTAAACCCTAATGTGTCATGACTCTTCATTTCCATGACCCATGGGTTTGTAACTCCCATGGAGCATCCTATGGGTGGAACCCAACTTGATAATCCATGGAGCCTCTTAGCCCACTATACAAGATATGGATGATTTACATAATCAACCCATATATTTAATTAGTTCTCTTTTGATCACTTAATTAATTCTAAATTAATTCTTGATCAAACTAATCAAATAATATTATTAATATATTAGAACTTATAATATATTAATAATCTCCAAGTGTTATTTCTCTCATTTAGTCGATCCAATTGCATGGTGCCATGCAACCCAATTGGACCATGCCGGGTCGGGTCAAGTACATACCAGAAATAGTTATTGACTTAGACACCTTATCCAACAGTCTCCCACTTGGATAAGTCTAATAACTATTACTGCAAGTATGACTTCAGGAACCGATCGGCAATCGTAGCTCTTTTCAAGGTTTCTCGGAACTGAGAAGATGATGGTACGCCATTTAAGATAAGTGATCATGTAATCCTCTGTTTTAGATATCAGTTGGACAAATACATGGAACAATGTCTTACTTATTGTCCAACAGTTTGTTTCCCGATTTCCGATTTGTTTGACAAAGAACTTAATTGAACACATCAACTTAGTTCTGACCAGGCCCGGTACATAGGTCAAAACAAAATCATCGAGGGGCCCAGATATCAGCTTCTAATCCAAGAGTGAACAGATAAACTTCGACTCATATGTTTGTTCTACCACTCATTGAATTACACACAAGAGCACGATTTATAACATCGAGTTACCAATGCGTTTTCGTACAATCAATGCATAACCAACTTGTAAGTAACAAATCATCTCTCTAGGTTTGAAGACTTATATGATATTACTGTCTCACGATCACTCGAGATATAATTCCATGAAGTGATTCCAGTGAGCGTGGGTTGAGTCCAATGCTCAGATCTTATGAGCACTCATGATTGTTGTAGCCTTGTCTAACACCTTAGACCTCTGCAACCAATCATGACAATCTTGATTCATACCTACTTCCGACATATGACTGACTGTGGAGGTTTGAATAATATATTATACCAAACAAAATTATTCTGGAAGTCAAAACAAGCAAAAGAAATATAGTAAACGATTGACAAGAGATAGCAACACTTTACTCATAAATAAAACACCTTTTATTCATCATCTAATGTCAATTACACTTTACAAATTTCGAGGTTATCTAACTACTAAATCTAATATCATCCTTCAGCCCTATGCTCCGAGCATGATGGAGATGCTTAACTCGAGTCAGTCCCTTCGTGAGGGGATCTGCTGGGTTCTCATCCGATGATACCCCCTTTGCCACGAGGAGTCCTTCTTCTATTCGATGTCTAATAAAATGGTATTTTCTGTCGATGTGTCTGGATCTCCCGTGATCCCTTGGTTCCTTGGCTAAGGCAACAACGCTTTCACTATCACAGAAAATTTCCATTGGCTCTTTAATAGCTGCTACAACTCCAAGGTATCCGATTAATTTCTTTAGCCATATAGCCTCCTTTGCTGCCTCGCTCGCTGCAATATACTCTGATTCGCAAGTTGAATCAGCCACTGTCTCTTGCTAGGAACTCTTTCAAGAAATTGCTCCTCCGTTTAGGGTAAAGACCCAGCCCGACTGAGAGTGGAAATTATCCCTATCAGTCTGGAAGCTAGCATCATTATACCCTACAACTCTCAAGTCATCACTCCCACCGAGGGTAAGGACCTAGTACTTAGTCCTTCGTATGTACTTGAGAATATTCTTTACCGCAGTCCAGTGTGCCTTGCCAGGGTTCCCCTGAAACCTGCTAACCATGCTCAGGGCAAAGGCTACATCAGGTCAAGTACACGTCATAGCATACATGATCGATCCTACAGCCGAAGCATAAGGTATTCGACTCATTTCTGCTATCTCAGCCTCAGTGCTAGGGCTTTGTGTCTTACTCAATTTGGCGTTACTCTGGATGGGTAACTCTCCTTTCTTGGAGTCCTGCAAGCTGAATCTCTTCAGCACCTTATCCAAGTAGGTACTCTGACTAAGTCCAATTAGTCTTTTACTCCGATCTCTCAAGATCCCACTACTAGAAAAAAGACCTTTAACGACGCACTTTTTACGACATGTATTGATTAACGATACGCAATAGGACGTGCCCTTAAAATAGTGTTATCTCTCCAAAAAATTTAAGGATTTACGTCACGCATTATTGCGTGCCCTTAATTTAGTGTCTCAAGAAAAAAAATAGAAACACGGAGGGCGCTTTATCTTAAACGCGCGTCGTCTGTACATGTCGCTTTATAATTTTAATGAAACGCGCTTTTAGTTAATGAAGGGGGAAACGAAATCCCCAAAATTTTGAAAACCCACCTTGTTTTTTCTATCTTCTATCTATTTTTCATCCTTGCAATCCACTCTCCCCTCTCTGATACTCTCTCCTCTAGATCTCCCTTCATTCTCTACCTCCCGTCTCTCTGTAAACCTCGAAGGTGAATCGTAATTGATCTGCGAGGTCTCCTTCTTTTCTTTGTTTTCTCAGGTACATCATCATCCTAATCCATTAACCCCTTTCATTTTTCATTAAAAAAACCCTAATTGACTTGGCAAGTTCATGAACCAGATGTAGCGCATTCCAAACTGGGGATTTAACCAAACCCGATAGAGCCATTGACGGAATCTTCGGATCTGGTCAATAAGGACTCTCTATAATCACGCAACTTTCTTCACAAGGGATCGCTCCAGGTCTTCAATCTATCAATCTACAATGTCCACTATCAAGTTACATCGAATCAAGGTCTAGGGTTTCAAATGCTTCAAGTTCTTCCCAAATAATTTCCCCTCTCAAGACGATTTTCCTCGATCGTATCTTTATGGCGATGATTCTCTCTCGATCGGATCGAAGACCGCTCACTCTCTCCTTAGATCTCCATGTGAGTCTGATCCCCCCTCTCTGTAACAGCCTCGCTTCCTTCCAAAAATCGAAGACCATTCTCTCTCGATCGTCTCTTTATGGCGAAATTTAGACACAATAATCTCAACATAAAATTCGTAACTGAACTCCTCTTCACCTCTACCCTACTCCATCTACAACGACTCCTTAAATTTACAAACCTTAGTCCAGTTGCGCTTCTAGTCAAATCAGGTACCTATCTATCTGCTTTCTGAATTCTCCTGGATTGGAAATTTCTTGATACTTCGCTAGCTTTTAAACAAACAAAAATCAGTTTTTCTCTCAATAATTCGTTGGATTTTACATTGGTGTTCCCCTTACTGGTTTCGATAACCTCTCTAATCTGTGAGGTTTGTGTTTACTTTCTTTCCCTCCCTCTCTCTAAGAAGAAAACCCAGCCTCATCGCCTTCAATCACCCAACAACATAGGTGGAACTCAAACTTCTCAGACCAAAAGAAATATTGTACGAAAGAAAAGCTATCCATTAATGGAAGAAGTGCAGGGGGGTTGCTTATTGGTGCTGTTGTGAACATGAGACCTGATTTATTTAAGGCTACTATAGTTGGAGTACCATTTGTAGATGTTGTGACTACAATGCTTGGTCCAACTATTCCTCTTACAACTGCAGAATGGGAGTTGATTTATATATAATATTTTTTTGTTTTGGAAACTCAAAGCAAGATGCTATGATAATATTAGTATGTTTCTTTCTAAATGTGAATGACTTGCTCTATTGCAGGAATGTGGGGATCCTCGGAAAGAAGAGTTCTACTTTTACATGAAATCATATTCACCAGTTGACAATGTGAGTGCCAATGTATCTTGTTTCAGTTTAACTGACATAAATCCATCTGACAGATCATCAAATGAAAATGTTGAAGTTAATTACTGATGGGTGTCTATTTTGAATAGGTAAAAGCTTAGAATTATCCAGCCGTAGTTGTTACTGCTGGAATAATGGTAGGTTGTCAAGAGTGATATTCAGGATGTGATTGATAAAGATGGTGAGGGGTTCACTATGGTCACAAAAAAAAGCTGGAAATGCAGGGACTGCTACTGTGAAGGGGTACGGTACAGGTGATATTCATCCCAATGTTTCTGGAAGCAAAGGTAGTAATTGGAATGGAGGGAATAACAAAAGAGGAATCTATAATAGTGTTAATAAGGGTAATAAAGGTTGGAATAACAGAAGTCATAGTGGGAATTGGAATAGGGGGAGTGTTAGCCATTGGAATCATCAAAAGAAACACGAGTTTGTTGCTGCAAATAATAAATCTTTCATTGTAGATAAGCAGGGGCATAATGGGAAAGAGAGTGTGGATTCTAGGAAAAAAGAGGAAAAAGTGGAGAAGGGAAAGGATTTTAAGGGTAGCCAAATTATAAATATTTCATTGTAGATAAGCAGGGGCAGTCTTCTCCTGATTCTATGGAAAAGGTTGTCACATAATCAACATTGTGATTGTATATTGATGATTATAGATTGGTGGCTTTGAGAATCTAACAATAACTTTAACTTTTTTTTTTCTTGCAGATATCAGCAGAATCCTGTCCTACTTCTGATCTGTTGGTCAATAATTCTGACAGTGGTCAAACTGAGGCTATAGAATCTAAGTGTGATACCAGGGTGAATTCCAATCTTGAGAACCATGATTGTTTAAATCCTATGAATGACATCCTTGAGCTTAGAGAAGTCAAGAAACATGGGAGAAAAGAGAGAAGGCACAAGGAAGCCCAGGATGTGCTTGCAGCTGCAACTACTGCTGCTGCAGCTTCTTCCAGGCTTTCATCTTTTAGGAAAGATACACTTGAAGAATCCGCTCACCATGAAGTAGTTGACTCTCATTTTGTTAGATAACATTTTTTAGGGGTAATTTCGTCATTAAAAACCGTTCTTATAATGTGATTTCTCTAAAAACTATCATTTCAGGGTGTTGAAAGTTCGTGCACACAGTGAATCTTGTAAACCTGTTAGATTTATCAATGAAGAACTTGGTAATGAACCAACATTGTTTATACTTTATATACTCTTGAGCCATGTAATTTACTTTTTACCCTCAGTAGCAACATAGTTGCTATTTCTTTAAACTTGATTTTGAATGTGTGTTTTTGTCATCAATGATCCTCACTGGTTCTCCATATTGTTCTATTCTTGCAATTGATATTGAAACAGGATCTCCAGTTAGTTATGGATGGATGTTCATACAATTGGGTATTATTTTCAATATTCATACAGTTAGTTATGGATGGATGTTCCAAGTGGGGGCAGATGTGCCTGCGCAAATCTTTAAGATGTCTCCCCGTTGATCGTATCTTTGTGAGGATGGGTGCAAAAGACCATATTATGGCAGGCCATGTGACGTTTATGATGCAAAGAGAGAGCTTCTGTGAATAGGTGGGGGTAGATATTACTTCATAAATTATTGTTTTTATATATATATATATATATATATATATATATATATATATATATATATATATATATATATAAAGTAACAAGTTTGACTTGTCAACACGTGTAGAATGCAAATGATCCCACAAATACATTGTAGGTGAGGGTATAAAATGTTTAATTACCTTTTTACCCTTGAGGCTCGGGTTTAAATATTTACATAATGTTTTTACAGCTGTGAGAGGGTATGGTTTATCCTACCCGTCATCTTCAGCGGTCCGCGTCCGGTTTTTACTGAATACACCTAGCATGCTGAATCTTAACCAAGAATCATTCTTTTTACTTCACAGACATCTAAACATTTCTATTTGTTATCAGAATTGTTACTTTGCTCTAAGAAATAATTGTCATAAACGGATTACTCTACCATACACAAGGGACAAATACCTGCTTCATAAACAAAGCACAAAATGGATCACAGTTATGACAATGGCGCCTCCAAGGCTGGAAAAGGGTGTTGTGGTGTTAGATAAGCCAGTAATAGAGAAAACTACTCCTGGAAGAGAGTCTGAGTTTGACTTGAGGTATTGTATCACTTTCAATGAAGTTTGAAATGCATATAGTAAAAGATTAGGTCGATTTACCTTTTTTTTTTTTAGGAAATCAAGGAAAATGGCACCACCATATAGAGTGATGCTACACAATGAAAACTACAACAAGAGGGAATATGTTGTGCAAGTGTTGATGAAGGTTATACCTGGAATGACAGTTGACAATGCAGTTAATATCATGCTCTTGACCTGGACACCACTCTAATAGGGCTTTTCCAAAAAAAAATTGACCATCTTGAAAATATTCCAAAACCACAGGGTGGAAATATCTCTGCAATTACATGTGATTTATCAATAAGTATAATATTTAATTTTAATCCATTCAAATATGTGACATGGTTTTGTTTTATTTATTTATATTTATACTCATGTATATAATGTATAAAAAAATTACATAAACAGGAATTATGTAAAGATTGGTTATCAATTTTCATGATTGTTACTTCTGCACGATCTTCAATTAACATAAGACATTTGGAGAAAGCAACAGTGTCTACTGGAAAAGAAGGCTTGTTATCTGAAGGGAATGGTCTACTGGAAAAGAAGGCTTGTAACATTATTGGTTTTGTTCCCAACTTTACTTGGAACAGGGGCCGAAAGTGTAACTTACTCTAAATTTTATATGTAAATTTTATTTTATATTTTGAAGGGAAATTTACTGAATATTGATTGGTTGATGCAGTTAACTAGAATTGGTCGAGATGCAGTTTTATATGTTGAGTCACTCATTGAGTCAATCATGGGAGGATTTGAAGGGCTAATCAACATTCTTGATTCTGAAGGAGGTTTTGGCTCTTTGGAGACACATGTTCTTACTATTTTATCAATTTCCTTAAAAAGTTACCAAATTCATGTATTAAATTTGATAAAGCTAACTTAATTGCTTTTTTTAAATCCTAGCTTCTACCAGAAGTCAGCTGAAACTACAAATGGCTTTTGATGGGCAGGAAAGATATATGAAGGTATGATCTATATTGTAATTCAGATTCTATAACTTTTATCATGTAATCTCTTAAGTCTTAATACCCATTATTCCTTATGCATGTAGAGATCTTGGGAGCCAAGTGATAAAGCTGATCTTCACTTTGTCTACAAAGATGTTGAAGGAGTATCAACTCAATGGGATGATATTCAAAGAAAACTCAGGAACTTACCTCCTAAACCCTCTGCCTTCAAACCGATCCCTTCACTCCTGCAGAAGACGAAGATTCCAAACCTAAAACCAAATCTCGAATCGATAAAAAGACAGAAAAACTCAAAGATTTAGAAGATGATCTTGATGATAGTTGTTTCCTCAAAGAGTACAAGTACCTTCAACTCCCTTAATCCTAATATCATTTTATGAGGGTATTAAATTTCATGTGATATTTTCATGGTTTCATTTCCTTTTGTGTTCTTGAAGCAGAAAGAGGATAGCAGAGATGAAGCAAACAGTGGAAGTTTGAACTCGAAAAGTTCGGGCATCATCTATGGTGGCCCGGGCAGCATCTATTTCAATATTGATTGTGTGAAAGTCATCTACTAAAGCAAGGTTGGTGTAAGAGTTGATGATGAGAACATTGTTCCAAGACCTTCAGTGAGTTATGATGATGTCCTTTAATAGCAATGTAGTATTAGGTTATATAGTTACCGATGATTACTTGTATTTGACATTTTATGCAATGAATTATCTTACTTATTTATTGTATTTTATTTTGTATCTTGTGTGACATTAATTTTTGTGCAATGGATTGTATTTTTTGTATATGGTGTTTTATTTCTATTATGAGAAATTAAATGAAAATTTAATTTAAAAATTAATAAATATATAAATTTATTTTTTTAAACATTTAAATTTACGATACGCAAAAATGTGTGTCATCTTCATTTATGACATGACCTTTCTTGACAGGGGCTTTCTTGATACGCATTGCGTGTCATTAACACGCGCGTCGTAAGGTTACGACACGCGAACGCGTGTCGTCTTCTTTTATGACAGGGCCTTCCTTGATACGCATTGCGTGTCGTAAACGCGCGTCGTAATTGCGCGTTGTAAATGAGCGTCGTAAAGCGCGTCGTCTCTCTTTATGACAGGGCCTTCCTTGACGTGCATTTGCGCGTCGTCTGAGCCTTTTACGACGCGCAATGAGCATCGTAAAAGGCTGTTTTTCTAGTAGTGTCCTTATCCCTAAAATATAGGCAGCTTCACCAAGGTCCTTCATAGCGAAACACTTCCCAAGCCAGGACTTTACTTCCTACAGGGTTGGAATGTCGTTTCCTATGAGTAGTATGTCATCCACATACGATACCAAAAAGCTAACTATACTCCCACTAGCCTTGGCATACACAGAAGATTCATCTTCACTCCTAGAAAAGCCAAATTCCTTGACCTTTTCATCAAAGCAAAGATTCCATCTGTGAGGTGCTTGCTTTAATCCATACATGGATTTCTCAAGCTTACACACTCTATTAGGGTACTCGCTGCTGATAAAACCTTCTGGCTGACTCATGTAAACATCTTCAGCCAACTTTCCATTAACGAAAGCGGTTTTGACATCCATTTGCCAAATTTCATAATCATGAAATGCGGCTATGGCTAACATAACCCTAATAGACTTAATCTTAGCTACTGGAGAAAAGGTCTCATCATAATCCACTCCAGGAATTTGAGAGAACCCCTTTGCGACCAGTCGAGCCTTATAAGTGTGTACATTACCATCCATGTCGGTCTTCTTCTTGAAGATCCATTTGCACACTATTGTCTTACGACCTGGTACATTCTCAACCAAGTTCCAAACTTGATTGTCATACATGGATTGTATCTCGCTATCCATAGCCTCTTTCCATTTAGCAGACTCGGGGCCTGCCATGGCTTCCTCGTAGCTGTTAGGGTCATCTTGACTTACTAGTGTCCCATCACTAATGAGGTCTCACCTTCTGCAGTAATATGGAATCCATAGTAATGCTCAGGTGCACTCCTAACTCTCGTGGAACGCCTCATAGGTACAGATTCGTCAATTGGCTCAATAGGAGTTTCCTCCTCAAGTTGAGGGCTAGAGTTTGAAGTTCCTTCACCACTTGACTCTTGAATTTCTTCAAGATCAATTTGCCTCCCACTATCTCTTTGGCTTATAAACTCTCTTTCTCGAAAAACTCCTCTTCTTGCTACAAAGACCACATTATCACTAGGTCTGTAAAAGAGGTAACCAAAGGATTGCTGTGGGTAGCCGATGAAAATACACCTCTCACTTCGAGGTTCGAGCTTATCATGAGTCTCACGTCTCACGAAAGCCTCGCAACCCCAAATCTTGATGTGGTCTAGTTTGGGTACTTTACCAGTCCACATCTCGTGAGGAGTTTTGGCAACTTTCTTTGTAGGGACTAGATTAAGGATATGGGAGGCAGTCTCTAAGGCATACCCCCATAATGAGATTGGTAGCGAAGCTCGACTCATCATGGAACAAACCATGTCTAACAAGGTTCGATTACGCCTCTCAGCCACACCATTCAACTGCGGTGTCCTGGGAGGTGTAAATTGTGAGACAATCCCACATTCCCTTAGATAGTCGAGCAACTCTGAACTAAGATACTCACCACCTCGATCGGATCGAAGCATCTTAATGTTCCTGCCCAATTGATTCTCGACTTCCTGTTTAAATTCCTTAAACCTTTCGAAAGTCTCTGACTTATGCTTGATTAAGTAGACATATCCATATCTACTGTAATCATCAGTAAAAGTCAAATAATAACGATTAGCATCCCTAATGGCATGTTTGAATGGTCCACACACATCCGTGTGTACAAGGTCCAACAAACCTTCACCCCTCTCACACGAGCCTGAAGGGTGACTTTCATTTTTCCAAGTAAGCATGATCTGCAACTATCATTTGACTTTAGGTCAAACGACTCCAAGACTCCATCCTTTTGGAGTTGGCCTATGCGTTTCTTGCTTATATGTCCAAGAAGACAATGCTATAATGATGCTTTATCCAAGTTATTATTACTAAGAGAATCAATACACAAAACATTATTTCCTAAGGTATCTACAACAGATACAGCTTCATACACACCAT